GCTGTTGCAGTGTCATGAAATGTTGCCAGCCTTGTGGCATAAATTGTGGCGTGCGAGGAAATTACAGTGCAGCAACTTATTTTACGGTAAATAAAAATATATATAATTTACATTCTGCAAATTTATACTTGAAAGCATTACGGAAATAGATTTGGAAGACAATAACAGAATTGGCTGTAGCCTCTCAGCCCATCAGATAAAATAACTAATCAGCAATTCTTGTTTTATGTCAAGCCCTATCTGCGCTGAGCTTTTGGCTTAACTGTCAAAGTTTCAGACTTTCCAAAGCCAAGCAGAAAGGCAACATTGCAAGTTAAATGAAAAGACGTATGTATGGGAAAATGTGTAGGAAAAATGGAAAAGCAGAAATGAAAACGTGTTTTCCGGCAACGAGCTGGCCGTGCCCACCGGCTCGAACAGCAAACAACTAGCAGCGTCCCCTTCAACCCACGAGCCCACTTTGCCTGAAGAGCCATGCATTCATGCAACACCAACTGCAGAGAGGCTCCGCGTACTCCCTGCGGCAGCACCAGCGGTTGGGGGAGAAGAACGCAAAGTAGAAACGGAGAAAACATGGCGAAGCGCCAAATTATCCACACATGCCGACAACAACGACTGGGATGTGGCGGCTGGCGAGGACGAGAGTGAGGATGAGCACGAGGATGAGGACGAAGCAAGCCAAGGCAGTTGGGAAAGAAACGGAAACAAGACAAGAACTGCAAATAATTGCAGCTGTACCTCTCTACATTTCTGTCTCTCCCTCGCACACTTAGTTGCTCTCTCTCACTCAAAGAGGCAGAGAGCGAGAGAGAGAAAGAGAGAGAGAGAGAGAGAGAGAGAACGCACGTATTGCACTCGAAAGCTTTTGTCGTCTGGCAATGCAGCAGAGCTTTTGGCGCTCAATGCCCTCTTGCTCTCTTTGCATGCCCATGCCCCTCATTGCATGCAACGCGCCGGCCGGTTTTCGCTTACTTTTCACATACATTTATTCTCTCTGTGTGTGTGTGGTGTGTTGTTCGTGTATGTGTGAGTACTGTAAATTGTGGTTTGTGTGGACGCCATTTGGCTGACACGTGGCTGACGTGGAGCTCAGCAAAAGGGCACATGGAAATGCAATGCAAAAACAAAATTGCCAAAGGAGTGCAAAATCAACTAGCTTTAGACAGTGTACGGCAACAAACAGAGGCCGAGACAAAAACTAAAAATCGGGAAAGGAAAGCAAAAGGCGACGCAAACCGGTTTAGCACTCACCAATCAACAACAACAACAGCAAAAACAGCCACAGCAGCAACAACAACACATAGCGATGCGGGGCAACTTTGTCTGGACTTTTCTTTATTTTAAGTTCACTTTTAATGATTTGTGTTTGCGGCGGCGGCAACGGCGGGCGATGCAAGAGTAAAAATCAAAATGGTGGACACAGCAGCATGGGACAGAGACGTCAGCAGCGCTGCTAGCGAAGGCGCAGCGGCTTTTAATGCGATTGTGACGATGTTAAATGCATTGCCCACACACGCACACAAACACAAAAACAGGCACACACACACACACTTTCAGAGACACAAATGCTCAGACAAGCGGAGCGTCGCAGACATAAAAAAATGTAGCCCCGTCAAAGCTGCATGTTCGTGTGTGAGAGTGTGTGTGAGTGTGTGTCTGTGTCTGTGCTTGGGGCCGCTTTTGTTATGGCGACGCCTGTGCTTGTGTTTGTTGCAGTGTTGAACAACGCAGTCGATGGGGCGTTGTTGTTTTTGTTGCTGCTGCTGCTGGTGTTGCTGTTGCTACTGCTGTTGCTCTGCTGTCGTCAAGCTCTGCTTCTAGTTTCTATTTTCTGCCTTTGCCTTTTTGCATATGAGTGAAACACCTGAACACGCACACATGCGCACATACATATATACACTTAAATTGATTTCGTTTCATTTCACGCCACACATGTCAGCTGTTTGGCTTTAAATATATCTGCACACACACACTCGTACATTTATATAAAATGTTGCTGTCTAATGTTTGCACTTAATTGCACACACACAAACATTTGCCAGATTTGGGGTCTGAAGAAATGCCGTCGCTGACTGCTTGTCGCGCCGTGTGCTTTTACTCATACACACACACTACCATTCACAACACTGGCACTTGATATGGATACGTATGTATGTAGCTGTTGTTGCTGTTGGCCTTTCTTCGCACGTGTGTGTGTGCGTGTAAGTGTGGCTGTGTGTGAGCGTGCAATTTGCAGCGGCAAATCAACTTTTATTTCTTTACCTTTTAATTTATTTTGCACTAAAATTCACAAAAATCCACTTTGTATGCACTTTTTAACTAGATTTCGTTGTTTTGTTTTGTTTCTATTTTTTTTTATTTTTTTTATTGTAGATATTTATAGCTAGCTCCTTTGCATTTTATACATTTATAAAATAATTTGTATATTATATTTTGTATTTTATTTATTTATTTATTTTAGTTATTTATGAGATCACAGTGGCCGTGCCGTTCCGTTCCGTTAGCATTTCGCTTGCCGCGCGCGCTCTGCCTACATAACTTAGCGCACCTAGTATGCGTATGTGCGAGTGTGTGTATATGCCTGTGTGTGCTTGCGAATTCTCCAACGAGCATCAAACGAAAATACATTCATACATGCATGTACATATATACAATATATACACGCACAAAATTGAACGCTTTGTTCTATTTTGATTTCGCTTTAGCACTGTACAACACACAAGTGAACTTCTATTGCTAATTTCCGATTATTTATTGTAATTGTAATTTGCGTTTGGCAGCCACCGCGTTGTAATAATGGCGGACGCAACGTCTACGTCACCGGTTCTTGGTTCGGTTCTTCGCACACGTCTGACGTTCGCTGGCTGCTGCTGCTGCTCAGTTGGTCTTCACGTCGTCACTTGCGTCGCACAACAAAACCCACAAACAACTCTGGGGAGTCGCAGCCGCAAGTCGTAACGAAAGCTGCAGCGACGACGACGTCGACGGCGACCGCTGCGACGACGACGGCTACAAAAATGCACACACAGTCAAATGAGTCGGCTACAGACAACGACGCATGCACACACAGATACAATGCACACACACACACACACACATATATCGACAATGACGACGACGACGACGGTCAGAGGCAGGCAAAAAGTTTTGCAAAGCGTGCAAAAAATACAAAGAGAAGGCGGGAGAGCGAGAGCGAGAGCGCGTGAGAGCGATTATATCCAAGTGTGCGCTGACGCTGGCAGCGCTACTGAGAGAATAAGCAGCGCGAGTGGCGGCAGAATTTGCACACCAAAGCGTAAGGCGAAAAAACATGCACACAGATACACGCACACACGCACAAATTCTCTCTGTCGCTCCGACGCTGCACAGAAGATCGTTTGTGTGTGTCTTGAAATGCAAAAATGTGTACAAAAAAAACTGTCGGCGAGCAAAGTCTTGTCGCGTGTGGAACGCAAGTTTTCATGAGTGTGTGCGTGTGGAACGTAGCGCTATCTTCAAATATACAAATAAAACGCGAAAAGTGAAAAGCATAAAATAACTGCAGTTCAAGTACGTAAATAAAAGCGAAATCGGCTAAGAATTATTCTAAGCACACTAAAAAGGAAAAAAATGTTGAAAGTAAACGATAAACAGAAAAGCGTCGACGTTCCACATACCATCCACACGCACACGCACATAAAATATGCGCGTCTATGCCAAAAAAAAAAGAAACCACACACACAAACAAGACCTACTGCCTAAACATTCCTTCGAAGGGGTTAAATGAGCGCACTACAAAACTAAATAACAACCATAGCAAATAAAGTCTGGCAATGTTTTTCGTGAAATTCTCCAATGGAACAAAATTGCACACAACTGCATTTGGTTTATGTATGTATGTATGTAAGTGTGTGAACAAAAGCGTAAAAATATTGAGAGATTGGCCAAGCGAACAACTGGCCGAACCCTGCGCCCACGCTTATCTGGTGGGCCCGTCGTCGTCGTCGCTGACGTCGACGTCGCTGTTGTTGCCATCGTTGCCGCCATGCGGCATTTTGGTCATGAACTTGTGGGTTTTGCGAGCGCGTCTCGTCGAGCTTCCTTCACTCTGCTACTGCTGCTGCTCCAACCAATTCACCTCCCCCTTGACGGGGTCAGTTTTTGTTTGTCAATCCCCTCTTCTCTCTCTCTCTCTCTCTATGTCTCTCTCTCTCTATCTCTCTCTCTCTCTTTCTCTATGCTGCGCCCCCTCCCTTCCTCTCTCTATCTGTGCCCACATAGCATTCAATGCCATTTCTAGTGGGCGTCAGTTATATGCTTCGCGCTGCGTTTGCACGTGATTTTTAGCGCTTCGCTTTTTGTTGTTTTATCAAAATATGCAGTTTTATTTATTTGTGCTCTTGGAGCACTTGAAAGACTCTCAAGTTACCGACATATTTGGGAATTCGAAACCATGGGAACACCCCACAGAATACCGAAATAACGTTTAGAGAGTAACCTAAGCTTTTCAATTCGCCAATATTCCCAGAATCTAACATTAAACAACGGATATTAGTAAATGTACCGTTATTTAATGTCGGTTGCCCGGTCATGGCTGGTCGAAAAAAGCAATCAAATGGTAAATATTTCTATTCTCCTTCAAGCCAAATCTAAAGCTTCAGTTTAAAGTAAAAGTTGTTTATATTTTATAGAGGAATAATTTCAGTAAACTTTCAAAGCATACTAGTATTGTAATGCTGCTTATCATCTAAAATTTGAAAGCTATCGCTTCGTTAAATTACATGTTATGTTTTTCGAATGCGTTACCAAATTATTTCAATCTGATTGCAGTTGCCAATAGTTTATTTATAAAACTGCAATCTTTTTTAGTAAACGGTCAAGCGAATTATTACCATATCAACTCAATCTCTCTCGATTCTATTATTCATTTGAATGGTGATAACGTGGGGCGCAACGTAAGCCTCGTGATTGGAATTGTAGCTTTAGCCACGTATCCAAAGTTAGATCTAGTATTGACTTACTCAAGCGAATTGTAGCTGTAGCCGCGTAGCTGCTTTAGTGATGTGTATCCAACTGAATAGAGTATCCGATTGTCTGCAGCAGGTGTAGTTATTTAATCCGAGTCGTAATGTATATTATTTTACTATATTTTGCACTAAAACACAAATTACACACTTATTTATTATGTACTCTTTGAAAATGTCTTCCAAGTTATTTTCTATTATAGAATATATATTATATATGTGTATGTATTTTTTTTTTTACTTTTGCACGAGCAAGAAAACAAAACAGAAACAGAAACAGAAACGCAACGAGCCGCAGCAAAAGTCGTTTTCAATTTCCCCCCGATCCGATTGCTTGGGGTCTGCCGAGTTGCAGATGCTGAGTGACCGGCGTACAGTAGAGCGAATGATGTTTGGTGATGATCAGTCAGTCAGTCTCTCCCTCACGATTACGCTCTGTCTCTCTCTCTTTCTCTTTCTCCTTCTCCCTTTCTCTATCCTTCACTTTTAGCCGCGTCAAATGCAGCCAGCGTCAATTGCAATCAGCGTTGCATTCGCCAACGAACTGATCTCGTTGTCGCCGCTCTGTGGCTCTGGTTCTGTCGCTGCTTTTCGCTGGGGGCTGCGGCGCAGGAAGTGCACGAAGCGTCGCTCCGAGAGCTGGCCGAACAAGTTACGAGCACAAGACGCACTCCGTTCGGTTAGCGATGCGCCGGCTGCTGCTGCTGCTGCTGCAGTTATGCACAATGTCTCTCTCTCACTCTGTCTCTCCCCGTCTCGCTCGATGCAATGCGCTCGGTTGGGCGTTTACCTCGTCGTATGGAGCTTTTTACGATTTTGCGATCGCCAATTGCTCGCTCTCTGGTTTTCAGCGCGGCTTCAAAGCTTTAGCTGCACTTTTCTTCACTACTGCGTTTATATATATGTGTGTGTGTAGGTAGGTGTAGGTAGGTAGGTATGCGTGTGTGTCTTGTGTTTGGTAATTGCATCAATTATCTCAAGTTACGTAAATGCTTGTTGTGGTGAGCTTTGATTAAAGCTTGCGAGAGTTACAGTTGTTTTTGTAGCTTAAAGGTTTTTCGAGGCACGTTTTGCAGTAAATGATTGCTATTTAATTATGTTCAATTTTGATTTAGTTCTCCTGCGTTTCCGTTATTCATGTTCTTTAGTCGACAATTGTGGCGTATCCTCTATTTTTTGCGGCGATTTTAAATCTTGCTGCTTCCGTTTTCAAATGCAGTCGATTCAATATTAAAAGATCAATTCGATTTGTTTTGTTAACTCTTGGCTATGTTTTTCATTTATTAATTCTTTATTTCACTTGGTCTTCGCACTAAAAATCACTTTATCAATATTTTGTGTACTTTCAACTGAATGCAGTATCAATTTTCTGTTTTCACATACGTGTTTATTATGTTGATCTGCGTGATATTTCAGGTTGTGTTTGTTTCACTTGTTAGCAATTTGTAAATTTTATATTTTATTTTAATGCACTTCCAAACATGGCGCTGCATTTTTATGCGCTTTGCGTGCCCATAGGAGACGTTTAAACTTGTGTGTATCCGGCAGACACTTTCTTAAAATTACAAGTTTTATGCATAGACTGCGTAGCTATTATTATCAAATAGTTATTCTCGTTGATATTATTGTGATTGTTGTTATTATTATTATTATGATTGTTATTATTATTAGTATATTTGTTATTTTTATTATTGGTAATTAGAAGCGTATTATGCTTGGGTTCCACGTAAAACACTTACTTTATTATTATAATTTATTTACCGTATTATAATGGTTGCAAATAAAGAAAACTTAAACAAAAACTGGCAAATCTTTCACTAAACACTAAGAAAACTTTTTGATAACAGACTGGAATATCGCATTTCTTTTTATTCTGGGTTATTTTTCTATGTGTGTGTGTGTGGGAACGATGTGTTTAATGGTTTCTGGTTTTTTTTTTCTATTGTTGTTTAGTTAAATATTGAGTTGTGTTTGAATATCCAATATATGAAACGTATCCGCGGACTCGTTAATTTTTTGATTACTCAAATATTTATTGCATCCAAAAGTAGTCGGAAAACTCTTAAATGATAACTTCGTAACGCTGCAGACCGAAATATGTTGATATCGTAGTGAATTTAGTTATTTTAGAATTGATTTAGTTAATATTTTGCATGGATTTTTAACCGTTTGTGTAAAAAGTTCCAGATTTGTAACTGCGATTTTTTCGCATGGTCGTTTGCGCGTCCGCGATACTTGCGAGTGGAGTGGCGATGCGATACAGATACAGATACCCGGCAGTTCAGTCAGTCAGACGACGGTCTCGCTGAGCTACAGCTACAAAAAAGCTTGCAGCGACACAAACACACACTTATACACACAAGCACAGTCACAGGCACACACACACACAAAGAACTCTGTCGTTGACGTCGGCAAAGCTTCGCACACAAGCGCAGCGTGCGTTTCCTTTTTGTTTTGTTTTGGCATTCGCAGCGGCGAGTGGTGCATTGGTATTGGTATGCATTGCTTGCATTCTCTCACTCTCACACACACAGGCAGACATGCCCATACACCACCATGCTCGCTGTGGCTGTGTGTGCTTTTTGTAGTTTTTGCAAACGCTGTCAGGCAGGCAGTTACTCAGCTAGCAACCACCCAGACGCCGCAGCCGAAGTCGCTTTGTAGTCAAACATTTTGTAGCTCGAAGCTTGCTCAGTGTCTGCAGTTCTGAGAGACAGAGCGAGAGCCAGCAAGAGAGAGAGAGAAAGGGAGAGAGACAGAGACACACAGAGAGAGTGCGAGCGGCTGTGGCTGTTCTCTATAGTTACTCTCTCGGCATCTCTAGCCATTGGTAATAATCTTTTTTTTTGCAGTAGAGTCTATTGGTATTTTGTATTATTTTTTTTCGAGCATACCTACAGTCACATGTAAATATGTATGCGTGTGCCTGCATGTGTGTGCATACATATAAATTTTTTCTGCTACCTCAACGTGACCCCTCACTTTTGTCGCTGCGTTTTTGTCGCTATGCGCCGCCGACTGAGGAACATTTCAATTAACTGCAATTCTTCTGCTTCGGGCAATCGCAATCCGTTCGTTTGCTTTTCTTTTTGCTGTTGTTGTATGATCGTGTTTGCTCTCTGCCGGCATCCAAGTTTAATTAACATTAAGTCTGCCCCTGACTGACAAACGTATCTAGCATCTAGATGCGCCGATAAGATCCATCGTCTCTTTTCATATTCGAACTTATTTGCCCTCTCTCGGAGCTTTTGGCTTTTGCTAACTTAATTTGTGCGCCTGCTGCAGCAGGTGCGTTGACCGCTCTGGCAGCTTAAAAGCTTAGCTGCGCGAGTGCCATCAATGAGATCATCCAATTAGCTGGAAATTATAGATCCTTTACGGCTAATGGGATTATGTACAGAGACAACCGTCAGTGTTTACTTTTGCTACAGTTGCTGCTTATCAGCATTAAATATCGTTTGATAACAATGTGAATGTTCGTATATGATTCACTTCCGTGGCAGTGGCTCTAACTAATTTATCAATCTAATAAAATCAAAATGTTGCAGTAATCTTTACTAGTTGATAAAAATTTCGTTTTTCTTTTATCAATTCTGTCTTTGCTCTGCCAGCCGTTAGTGAGAGTAGACGAATTGGCAGGCAAAAGCAAAAGCAAAAGTAAAGAGTCGAATGTGTCTGCAAAATGAATAAGAAGAAAAGGCGCAGCGAGGATAGCGATTCTCCAGATGATGACCAGCATCATCAAAAAATCGGTGGCATCATCAAAACGTAAAGTCCAGCAACAACAATTGCGGCGATAACGCAATTTTAGCTAAAAACTGCGGCATTGAATCCTGTTTTTATTCCCACAGTTTTGTACAAGGCTTACAACTGACCGGGGGGACCGGGATTGCTAACCAAGTCCATGCCTCAGCCCTATAGGGCCCCTCTCTAGCTGCTGCTGCGGCTGATCAGCGGCGCATGGTCATCATCAATGCCGCTGCTGCTGCTACCGCTGCTGCTGCGTGGTCTCAAAATAATAAGATGACATCCAACACTTCTTGCGAGCGGCAGGCAGAAAGCGCAGCCGCAGTCGTAGTTCAGACCTTAACCTTACCCCATGCGCCGGTGGTGGTGGTGCCCCTATACCTCTGCCTCTGCCTTTGGCTCGCTCTCTACCCCCTTGAAGCCGGCCGCAGTCCGTTCCAAATATTTTTATATAAAAAATCGCTTTTCTGATGCCGATTCGCTCGACGCTCGCATAATAAAACTTTTTCTGCATGCTTTTAATTTCATTCCCCAGATACCAGAGGCAGCAACAGCAGCAGCACCACCACCACCGGCACCACCAACAACAACGACGATGATGATGACGACGACGACGACGACGACGATGATGTCAGGGGCAGCGACGCAGACAGCGGCGCACTTGGCCACACAAAGGATCGGCCTTAAGATCGTCGCGAGCACGAGAAAAGGACGCAGGGACTTGTCTCCATTCAAATGAATGTAGGTAGAGGTACTCGAATGTACCTGAACCTCTTGGCAACGACGGCCACAAAAGGATGGACATTGTCCAGTGACCAAAACTTATTGAGCACTGATGATAATTTCAGCTCTTAGCTGTTTTTGCTGTTGCTGTTGCTGTTGTAGTTGTAGTTGTTGCTACCGTGCTTGTGCTTGTGCTTGTGCCGGTGGTGGTAGTGGTAGTGACAGCGGTAGTGGTAGTTGTCTTGACAGTTCTTTATCGCCCTAGAGATACGCGATAGAGTTTGAGTCCTACTGGGCAAATAAATGTTAGGGGCACCGTACGAATAAAAGAATGGAGCAGGTCTTAGAGGCGATGTGGTTCGATAGGCAATGTGGTTCAATCATAATTCTGATCAGTTAACAAAAAAAAAACTTTGAATAGCTCTACGGCAGAATGAAAATTGAAATTTCGAACGGTACCAACTCGAATCGAGACTAGATTCATTCGCTTTGTTCTTTATAAATCTAAGCATGCTTACAAATGCCTGTTGTAACCAATCAGAAATCTAATATACATTATGTAATACTTAAAATATATATCTATTTTAGTTCTTTCCCTGAACTGAATCTAATTTCTTTTTTAACTGTGATCAAAATGTTCTTAGTTATTGATATCATGTGTAAGTTAGTGCAGCTGGGCTAAGTTCATTCAGGTTCGCTGGCCGTGGTCAATGTTGTTTGCCTAAGTTCTTAAAGCACAGGAAGTAGATGATCAGCATCAAAGCAGAGAGAGGCCATGGAATGAAGAAAGAAACTCAATGCGACATTTGCATTTTTAATGCAGACCAACAAATAAATCTGCGTTTTTTTTTTTAGAGTTGATTTCGATTTTTTTGTGACTGGTTCGTATCTTTCTGATTTTTTCTTCCTTTTTTTCAAACGCGTGTTTTAAAATATGTTCGCGTTTTTTGTGCAAGACCATCTATAACCATTGTGTGTACGCTACGGTGTCACCTTCGAGCGGAGCGGAGCAGAAGCAGGAGCCGCTGACCAATGCTGACCAGACAAGACAAAACACACACACACACATAACTAAAGAAAAAAAAAAAAGCGAAGGATGGAAAAAAAATCAAGGAAAAAGCTAAGCAGAAAAGCACACAGAGCGCGATATCCTTTTGTGATATATGAGTAAGTTGTACCTGAAGGATGCGCCGCCGTCACTGAGCCGTTGTGCACACACAGCCATGAAAAGGAGGCTGCTGCAAGGCGATCGAGGCCGAGCCAGAGCCAGAGCCATAGGCAGCGGCAGCGGCTGCGGCAGCGGCAGAGGTAGGGCCAGGGGTAGGGCGGTCAGACAAGCTGCATTCGCGAATCTGTGCCTCTTGGAGTTTATCATTCGATATCGTGCATAGACTGTGATTATTGTAAAGAGGTATATGCGGCATGGAATGGAAGCGGATGTGGCTGAGGCTGAGGCATGGCCCAGCACCCAAGGAGCAGCAGCCCTTGGCACCACCAGCAGCTTTTAGTGTAGAGCCCTGACCAAGGCCCAAGAGCACCCCTCGCTTGTGTATGGGGTGGTGTTGATCCTTTGTTTTTCAGCCTATGGCTGGTGGGAAAATTTATCTAAATTGTTGATGGCGTTTTTTTTTCGTATAAAAAGTTTTTTTTTTTTATATATATATTTTGCTAAAAAGGATTTCGTATTCTTATTTTTTTTTTGTTTTTTGTCATATTGTGGAATGTTTTGTCGTCACTTTTTTCAAAGATGATGCGCAAGAGCAAATGGCCCAAAGTCCATAAATTAAGCCAGGGCAAAACTGACAGCGTACGAAGCTAAGGATCAGCGTCGAGTATATAGAACAACAACAACAACAACAAAGGGAAATAAAAATGAAATTGGATGAAGGTGTTAAAACACAATGGCGCCGTTGTGTGCCAGCTGATGGTATTGTTTGATTGCCTGTGTGTGTGTGCCAAGTCCCATGAGCAGGAGGAGTAGGAGCAGGAGCAACGCCACGAGCATGAGCCAGCGCAACAGCGAAAGGATAATACTCTAAGCGAGAAAGTAAACATTTTTAGCCAATTAAATGTCAAAGGCAGCCACTTGACAGCCACCGCCGCCGCCAACATCGTGAAAACTTCAGTTGCCAGGCAGCAAAATCAACAGCGGGAAAGCTGCGAGACATCAACGGCAGCTGAAAATTGCGGGCGCTTTTCACACGCCACCAACAACGCCGAAGGGTTGGCAATTATTTTTAACGAACTTTGCCCCGCTGCTGAAGTGCATCAATACGAAGAGTATTGCCATTCGAATGGCATTCGGTTTGCCAAATATTGCGCATACGACGCGGTGCTCGCAGC